TTCGTCGACTTTCTGGATTACATTGATCGCCGCAGCCCATGCTGAATAATTGAAGGTACTAATTACTCTCAACTGTTCCAGCCAGGCTAGCTCACCGTTGAGTTCTACTGATTCGTAAGTTACGGGCCATTTTGGACGAAATAGTACCGGAAGGTATAAATAAAAATACATTTGTTTTATGAGACAGTCCATCAGAATCTAGCAGAATAAACGCTGGGGAAGCCAGATTTAAACGGGAAAGGACATCACTCATGTCTATACAGTTTACCATACCATCAATCGACTGGCCTGATAGTGAATTGAATTAAATGTCACACTAATCATAAGTTTCAGTTTGGGGGAATTGATATAAATTAAATTTGTCTATCCAATCAATGTCGAGCAAGTTTTCGTGAACACGTCAGGATATTAAGCAAATACGTTGCAAACGAAAATCTCGAAATGAAACTTCCGAGACAAACACCAATGAATCTCGTTTGTTTTCCAGATGCCGCCCGAGTAACACAGGCGATGATCAATTAAAAGTTCAAACTGCTCCTGTTATTTCTTCAGTAGCTGCCGCGAAAATTCACTAGATTGTTATATATGTATGCTCCTGGTTTAGGAAGAACACAACTCATTAAACTAGAGTAGGCTGGATGTTTCCATATCAAAACGATTTCCAGGCTCAACAGATGAGAACAGAATAGTCAAACACTAACCCTGACGATACTGGTGAAGTCGATATCATGACAGGCCAGTCAGATCACGTCCGACGCGGATGAGCTGTGGTGTAATATGAACTCTTAGTACAGCCATTTTTACTCTTATATTTCCTCAATTCACAAACTTACATGAAAAGGTTTTGGCAGTCAAGGGTGATCAGTGATATATAGGAGCGGTGAGTTCGATCACAACCTCCGGGAGGATTAAATGGTGACCAATGTCACTTAACGTTTGGACCTGTTCGTCAATGCTCAACTAAATAAGTGCGCGGTTTGGAGTGTTTCTAACTGAGTCCGTTTGAGATGAACGAAGTGCGATGCCCCCAACAAGCTCGCAGAGATGGTTTGTGCTAACCTGTGTGAAAGCAAAATGAAATTAGGTTTGATCCATCACTCTGTGGTCGAGTGGGTAGTATACTTCAGTTCTACCTCTGAGGTTCTATGTTCAATCTTCAGTAGGGTCGACCGATTCACAATGCTGATAAAACCCAACCAGATCGAAACAGCTATCCAGTGCTCCATAACTCTTCAGTTCACACTTCGCTTGCTCTGTGCATGAAGGAATTCCCTATGGAATAAGCGTTGTTTACGTCACTGAATGAGAGTTCATTAATCTTTATGAGTTTGAATGTTGACATATTATTATACTTTACTGAGCATTTTATCAGGCGGCAAATTACTGATTTTCCGTCAACTATATTAAATTTCGTGTACATCACTTGATATGTTTCAACTGAAATGTAAACGTCAGTCAGACAAATTTGTAGTCAAAGGTGCTATTGCAACAGGCTAAAAAAATAATCAAATTATTTGATGAAACTTATTTATTTAAATGATGAATTCGTCGTGTAAATGCAGCATAAGCTGAATAGCTGGGAATCACTGGACAGCTGTTACGATCTGGTTGGGTCTCATCATCAGTGCGAATCAATCGAACCAACTGTGGATACTCGTAACAACTTCGTATAGGTGGGCTGTGCTATAATCGTGTATATTCAAAATAAGAAACGGTCCGATCAGCTGCCCTGTAGCTAAGTGGGTAGTATGCTTGCGTTCTATCTGTGATTTCCCGAGTTCGATCCCCAGTTCGGTCGATGGATTCGCACTGCTACTGAGCTCCAACCAGGTTGAAGCACCTGTCCAGTGCTTCCCAGCTTTTCAGTTCATACCTCATTTACACAAATAACCATCATTTAAACAAATAAAATCCTCATTAACTCTCATACACACTGATTTGGTCGAAGGCCGAAACATTGTCGACAATTTCACGTATTGATTACACTTGTTGTGAACTACCATAAGCTAAACGTCATTGTTCTTCCCTTTCTCTACAACAGCGTATATATTGCATATATATGTATATCTATGGGCGTCTATTTATCAACACACACAAACGCACACATATATATATATATATATATATATATATATAAATTGTA